CAAAATTTAATTTGGTAATGAAATTAGCGAAGTTTTTATTTTTTAAATATTATTTCCACAAGAATGAATTTCAAAACAAAAAGACTAAAGGGTTAAATAAGCCTTATCTGTTCTTCGTTTGAACGTATATAGAGCCAACAATTTTACTATGTATACATATATACATATATACATATTCATTACCTCATGTTATCACTAACTACTATTTTCATTTTATGATGTATTTTTTTAACTTAAAAAGAACAAAGCAGTAATTTAATTTTTATTTACTTTTTTCATTAGTTTGTTGTGCAAATAATTTAATTTATCATAGAACCCTTGTAATTATTATTATTAATCAGATTAAATAAGCTATCGATCCAAAATGATGCACGTTTTTTTATAAAAAATATGATTCTTTCAAATTTGATACAACTTGACTATAGGTACTGGGAATAGTAATCAAAGTTTAATTATTAATGATATAATAAAATACCTACTTAAATGTTCAACATAAAAATAAATGTGTTTTTTCATTATGTCAACAAATTTTAAAAACATTAATTTATGAAATCTTTTCTTTAATATAGGTGCATACTCATGATCAAGATAATAAAAACCAAACAAATTTAGCTAAATCACATATATAACAGTACATTTTAGTATACCTACATAATTCATCTGTGATTTACCTACTATATTATTTTATAATTTATATATCATAATATGTCTATATCTAAGTAAATAAAAAATATTTTTAATAGGTAATGATTTACAACGACACTGTTTTTTTAAATATTAATATCAATAAAATTAGAACTGGAACTTAAATTATCACTCGTCTGGTGTCGTGTTTCTTTTTTTTTATCAGATAAATATTATTATTTTAAAACCAAATATAATATAATATATATTACTTATATCGATAAAATATTAGCATCTTGCATACGCTCCAATAATAATTACAAATCACAGTAGATACTGATAAAAGTATAAAACACAAATATTATTTTTAAATCATTAATATATTATATATACTATGTGTGAATAATATGATTAGAATCAATAATTTGAATAATAAGAAAGCTCATCAATTGACCACACACTGCACGCCACACAAACAAAAAGTCTACATCTTCGTGAATTCGTGAGTACCACATTTAATTATCTTTTGATAACAGTAAATTATATTATATCTATATCGAACACAAGGGTAGTATGCTTATATTTATTTTACCTCAAAACATCTACTCGTAAATAATACGTATATATACCACTGAAGTAAGTGAAACCCGTATTCGCAAAAATGAACATAAAACATCACATTCTCAAAAATCCAATTATTAGTTAACCATTACATATCAAAAATTCTCAAAAAATAAAAATCTAACAGTACTAAATTTCTTATCAATCGGATCAATCATATCAATTGTTAAAATAGTATAATACCATAGAGTACCAATACTCTATTCATAAAAAGTACCAAAAATATATCAATAATATTAATCTATGTCATAAATTCCTAACCTCGTTAAGATTAAATTATTTCTAACCATGAACTAAGAAGATATCTTTTTTACAGATTACAAATGGGTTTTTCCATCTAATAAGTTTTAAGTGAATAATTTCAAAATAATCATATTATTATTTTAAATTAGATTAGAAATGTTTAACATAATATGTAAATTATATAGTATATATAATAATTATATATTATTAGATGTATCTGTACTCTTATGTTCAAATATGCCACCCAGCGTTAACGAAAGTTAATTTTACAAGCTAAATAAACGGCTATATGTAATTTAATTACTTCTTTACAAACATAGGACTAACAATTTAAGAACATTCTGCCATACCTATTTTAGTTAATTTTACACAACGAATTATTCCTAATCAACTAGTTAAATTTTTATCCGATGATTCAGTAATGTATTTCTTTTGCAAATCTCAGGATCACACGTCCTCACTATGCCAGTTAAACTGATGCATATTATTTTAAAAAAATGAAAAAAGTATAACCTTTAATATTCAATCGCAAACGACTAACATCAAATAAAAATCTATAATTCCTAATTTATTAACTATATACTAATACGACAAAAGACAAAAAGTTTCCCAGCACAAGTAAATCCTATTAAAGTTAGATACCAAAAGATCTATTCCAAAATTATCTCTCTCTACCGCTGTATTGTTATCTACATCAGTTTTTAATTCCACCAAAACACCTAAACTCTCTCACACACTAAATCTAAAAACTTCTCAAAGTAAAAATAGAAAATAAAAAATTGCATCAATATCGTTAAATACATTTTTTTTTTAACATAGATGCCTATTTAGACCAACAGAATAAATATTAGATGATGAAAAATATTTCAAAATTAATTTTATCACTTTCAAACGCATATTCAATAATAATCAAGATATTTTGACATTCTTATTTTACTTAGACTATAACATCTCCAAAAAACACTTTTATATATAATTAAAAAAACTAAACTCGGTCTCCGATATGAGAATACCAAAATTACAAAATTAAAATATTTTTGCATCATAAAAAATATAAACACAAAACTCTGAAATTATAACAAATCTGAAGCATAAGACAGTAAAACTGTAAAAAGTACTTTTATTTCATCAAACAAATTGTCACAGAATTTGATAAAACTGACGCATCATTAATGTATCATCAAGAAAATATATGTAAATATTCTTTTGATTAGAAAAAAAAATGTACTTATTAACTTAATTAAGTATAGGTTGTAAATAAGCTTTTCAATAAAAAAAAAAAAATAAAAAAAATATGAAAGTTAAATTCTTGTGATATATTCTAATTTCTCGAGATACGTCTTATAACAAACAATATATTTTCTCCAGAAGTTTAATTTGGACAAAATTAATTTAATGTAAGCTAAGTATTGTAAATTTATTATTATTATTCTTGTATACCTACTTAACAATAAGCAAACCCGTGTAATCTTACTTTAAAAATAAAAACAATTCTCATCGACACATTAAAATTGTAACAATATTATAAAAAATATAGCAATTATGAATGATCACGATTCTAAGAGTTATTCTAATAAAAAAATATAAATAAAAATGTATGTTTTTATATTCAAAAAAATTCAATTATTAAGTCATATACTCACAACATACAAGTATTTCTATTTTAACATCATAATTCTTAGATATCTATTTATAGTTTATGCACCATTAAACTTTAGTCTTCACCAATATTAAATATAACCTATGGTAAGGTTTCCTTTAAACTTACTTGCTTTTTATTTTATTAATTAATTAGTGTAAACAAATATTTATAGTATTAAAATTCTTAATTTAAGTATAGTATACTATACCATATATGCATATATGCAGTATTGTATTGTATGGGTATTAGATCTGAATATTGAGTATACAAGAAAGCAAATTAAATGCAATTTTAATACAAGCAGATTTAATTCTACTTCGTCATTAAAATTTGCAATATCGTGATCAAGTTGTGGAAACAACATACCCTCAAGTCAGTAGTTATAACACAAAAAACAACATGAATTGAACTTATTTTACACAAAAAGTCAAGAATTATATTTATTATTGTTTATAGAACATTGAAGTTATGTTTTCTAACTAAAAATTTATTAAAATATGTAACATATTTGTATTGTATAAATAATATTTTAATCAAAATTGTTAATTTAAATTAACAATTAATAATTAAATGCATTAAAAACTTCGTTTTAATTTATAATTAGTTAAAAAAATATTAAGTATTTTAAGATGATTATATAAATTGAAGTATACATATTATTTATTAACATAAATAATAAATGATAATTAATAATCTAAAACATAGACATACATTTTTCAAAATACATAATTTTATTGTTTGATTGCTTGAAAAATCACAGATAAATCAACAAAAAATAATAGAAAAAAATTAATAGCATTAAAATAGTATTGTATGTATATGAATTTTATAATTATTTATATTCTACATACTAACACTGTAATTCATATCACACCATATTCATTGAATTAAAACTGTGATTTAATTTTTAAAATTGTTATAAAAATATATAAGCAATCAAAAATTGCTCATACTTAGCAAAATTCAATTTTATACATAATTAATTTCTAAACACAATTTTTCACCCATTTAAAATTCAAAGACACCTATTCCAAAAATATACAAAAGTCTCCAAGTTTCATTAAACATAATATAAATACACACAACTACACAAGTATACTTAATATATATTTTTAGTATGAACAATTGGAATTTAACTCTATACTTTATATAACTTATGAAAAAAAAAAAAAAATGTTTTACTCACATACTTAACATACTATAATATAATAACTCAATATTCAAATAAAATTTAAAAATGTTAGTAATTTAAATTTTCAGAAGCTTTGAATTGGTTTTGAATTAAAAAAAATATTTTAAATAATTATTTTGGACATATAGGATAGTTTAATAATAACACTTGTACGTGTATATAAAACTCTTGAATGTATAAAATGAATATTTGAAAAACAATTTAAATATAACAGATACTTCAGCACTTGACACTAACGATGGAATAAAAAAAATATTCATCTAACCGATAATGAAATGTAAGTTGTTACCGTCCGCTGTTATAAAAACTATATTGGAATAAAAGTGAAAATCCATTTATTGTTTTATCAATTCTCGATTTAAACACAATTCAATATTTTAAATCATTTCAGTTTTTAAGCCTTAAATATTTATCGAAATATCTAATGACATGATAAAATATTGTCGTTAAGGAGGTAATGCGTTCCAAACTCAAAAATTTCGTGGGACTGTTATTATAATTTTATAGTACACACGTAAAACTTTTTATTCGTTTATTTTTTATAGATATTTTATTATGTTATTCGCATGTTCTAACTCTTGGTTTCCGTAACCACCCGGCGGAGGTATTACTCGCTGCCACAACAGTAGCAATTAACGTATATAGGTACCCGTGCATTCTCGTACGATTTTCTCATACCTTCAGACGCCAGTTCAGGTGACGCTCCCATGGTGGACAGTATCCAAACGACCAGGAGAATCCGGAGATCCGCCTCCATGACGAGGCAAGGGCAGCGGGCGGTGGTCGTTACACTCGCGGAGCGCGAAAAACCAAAATCGAAAACCGTAAAAGGTACAAGAGAAATACGATAGAACGTAGTAAAAACGCCGAGGAAACTTTTAAAGCGATTTTCAGTTTTTAAAATCAATTTCGTGACGCACGGCGTAGAAATGGCGCGAAACGGTAGAGAAGGACACTGCGGCCATCGCACTAGTTTAATTATTACAATTTATTTTCATCATTCCGGCGGCAACGGTGATGACGGCGACGGGCGCGACAGCGACCGATCGGACGTGAGTGGACGACACATGGTCTCGCGGAGAAAACGGCGACGCCGGATACGAGCGCGACGACGACGACGATGAACGATAAAACGGCCGTATGACAGCAACGGACCCGGCGGGATGGGTGTTTGGCGGCAGACTGCGGTCGTGTGCTAGCGTGAGCGGCGCGTTTGCTGTCGGCTGACGTGCCGGACACGCGCGCCTCCCCGAGGGTTGAGGTGGTTTTTCCCCCGGCAGTGGTAACGGCGGCGGCGGCGGCGTTGTTCTTCTGCGCGTCTCATACGCACAGCGCAGCCAAACGATTTGACGCCCACACTACGCAATTATTATTTTTATTATTATTATTATATTAAAGGCACCTAAGTATACAATAATATTACAATGTGCACCGATCACGAGCGAAAGGATCATTATACTACTGCAATACCGTATTATATCAATTTAAAAAAATAAAACGCTCAAAAGGATTGAACTTATGAATGGCGCGTCCGCCCGATACATCTGCTTTTTTAAGGGGTTTGGTGTAGTCAATTTAAAGTATTTCTTTACAAATTCAAAATGACTTTGCGAAACACATAGTAAAAAAAAGCAAAAAACTCAAACTGTACGTTAAGATTTTTATTTTTTATGTATAATTAATACAAATAAATATTATTTCCAAAAAACATAATATTGAAGATTTAAAGATGTATTATAATGTGTTTTTAAATAACATAATTCGTTTCTTACTACCATATACACACTACTCAAATACTAGTTTAATATCAGAAAAATAAATATGATATTGTAAGGTCTAAGTCCTCCTCTTTCTATATGATATAAATTTGGTATCTTAACTAATATTATATTATATAGCTCCAGTGGTTTATATAAGCGAAACAACGTTCTACAACTATTTGACAAACAATAAACAAAAAAGTAAATAAAAAACAAGAAAAATTATTCCTATCTCTATCATCATCCCTTACATATTGTAACCGCAAACAGCCCGCAAAGCTATACGTATAAGATTTCAATGAAATACAAAATGTCAATACAATTTTATTATTTATTATATTATATTATATATTTATAAATATCTATGTTATGAATGAAAATCATAGATAACCATAAAAATTTTATTTGAGTAAAAAAAATGATTGGTCATCTGTCAATGGTACAGCACACAATGCATTCAGTACTGCTAAGTATAATAACAGTAGATATCTGAATAATAGTGAGATAATAAAGTTGTATTGATATTATTATATCCCATGCAAAAAATCCATCTACAAAAAATTTTTTCTACTTCATATCGCGTATACACACGCACACATTGTATAAAATCAATATATTCATTACTCTGCTAAGAATCTAAAATGGCTGTTTAATATATAATGAATTTTAAATAATTAAAGCTATAATACATTTTTATTTTTTAATAATTATCAATTGTTATACATTTGTTTTTATTTAATAATTTAATTGCATATGCATATGAGTACTCAGCCCTACAGAGGACTCGTGGGAAAGCCCAAGAGTTCTAAATAATATTTTTATTTGATGAGTAGGTACATAATATAAACTGCAGTTATTTTACATTGATTATAATATCTATCAATAAAACTCTCAAACAATATATACTTAAAAATGAATTCCGGATTATAACATTCAAAATAAGTATCAGAAATTTTAAATATTTATAAAATATAATTAATATCACATTATTAATAATTCATCTGGGAATTCCTATAGACCACTACAAAATGCCTTTTTTTACTTAATTAAATCAAAGGTTTATTATACAGGTTGGTATTTTATTACATAATTTGGTATCGATTATTTCAAAGTACCTACTAGATGTGGTTTTTCTGGATCTTTTAATGATTAAAATTGTTTTTACGTACGTTATGTTTACTCCATACATTATTATTTATTACCAATAACTTATTAGCAATACATAGCAGTAACTTTTAAGTATATTTTTTTAATAAGTAGTACATTTTATTCTGTTTATAATTTTGTTGTTGAAAACATTAGCTTTGAATTAAATTCTAATAGTGTGATTTTGACATTTTTCTACTAATATATATACACACACTCGTATATAGGTGTGTGTGTGTGTGTGTGTGTGTGTGTGTGTGTGTGTGTGTGTTAGTGGTTATGTATGTACTAAATACGTTATTTTATTAAATAACTAAATAATGTTTAAAGCTTTTTTTCAAATGCACATGTCAACAAACAGTACAAATGTTTAAAAAAAATAAGGTGCTTTGTAACTTTAAATTCCATCTAAAAAGTTCGTGTACTAATAAATAAATAGTAATTTATAAAAGTAATAATAATTTAATACCTAATTATAAATAAAAATTGAAATAATAATAATTTAATAAAGTTCTAATAAATTGAGGTTATACAAATCAGAATCGACTTTTCAAAATGAATATTTATATTTTACATACGTATAGATTAAATAATAGTTTTAAATATATTAACCAAACCGTTATTGATATTTTATAAAATATTTAGTTAGCATGTAGAATAACTAGTTAAATTATGTGTTTATGAATTCATTCAATACATTAACTGAAAGAATCCACAAATCACAATTCATTAAAATAACTAGTTACCTATTTTATAGAATTACAGAATTCCATACATTGACGCTAACATATATATGTAATGTAATACATAAATAACATTATCGAAATTACCACTGCAATCTATTATACCCTAGGAGATTATTAATTCAACCAATACTAAATAAATTTGATGTAATTTAGACAATAATTCGAGAACTTTGTTTAGATTTCTTAATGTATAAACTTTTTTATTAATAGATCAATTTGATTTTTCTATCTCGTATTTCTACTAATTTCAATGCCTAAATTTATATTCTATACTTATTGATTCATAACAGCAATTATTTAATTATGTACAGTGTTCATTATAAATTTCAAATTATAATTTTATTACAATAAATATTTATGGTATTTTAAACAATTATTTTTATAGATGCATAATAAGAATTTGCAGTAAAATACATCTGCTGTGTTGAAAATGCATCCTGTTAAATAGTTTTGGGGACTTATATAAGTATTTAATAGCAAACAGATCCACAAAGACCGTCCCCCAAAGGCTCTACATCTCTATTTATCATACTATCTTTACAATATTTTACTTTTTTATAGAACTTTTCGTTGTGTTAACGAAACTTACCAAACTAAACATAATAAACAAAATATTTTACAGAAATAGAAGTTAGAACATTACACTTTTTGAACTATTAAATAGGTACCTTAAAAATAGTATAATTCGTTTTAGTAACAAATTGTAATTTTGAATTGTACGCGTACTAAAAACTTCAAAAATTTAATAATCATTTTTTCTTTATAAAAGTTTTAAAACCAAATCAAAAAATCTTAAGTCCAGTTTAATTCAAAATTTGAACCAAACATCTAATAAAATTTAATAAAATCCAAAAATAATATCCTTAAAATTCACTTCATAATTATTCAATATTATAATTTTCATAAATATTAGTTTGAACAATTATTTTTTATATGCATTTAATGTATAAATATGTGTATTAGTGTATATATATATTTATTTTTCTTCAGTTGTTTTAAAGATATTGATTAGTAAATGGTGAAATTTTAAATTTCTTAATTATTATTTTGGGAGTTAGTTTAAATAATTAAAATAAATTGGCCGTTTTTAGTCCAATTCTAATAGTGAAACTTAAATTATTTAGAGCAACATCACTAAATTAAAATGAAAAAATTGTCTAATTTATGAGTTTTTTCCAAATTTTGAAAAATGATCTCTCTAAAATATAAAACCTTGAGTAATTTTTACTCTAAAAATAAATATAGATAAATTTCTTAGACCAATATATAATTTATTACCTAACCAAAAATGTGCGTAAAAAATAACAAAAAAGAATGAATAAATATTGTAAAACTAATCAAAGAATCCAAAATAATAATTTTAATTTAAATATGTAAAATAGGTATTTATATATATATTTTTTTTTTTTTTGAGGTTGACCTCAAATCAATTATTTGAATGTGGTTAAGCCTCAATAATTTCTCCCTCTTATCATTCACATATAGTAGGTAACTACTAAACGACAAAATATATAAGTGCTACAACTGTAATTTTCTTGTCTCAAGTTGGCACTCTCAACATGAGACTACAATAGGATGTACATTTATTTACTATTTGATTAAAAAATTATAATTAAAATCGTTCGACAACTGGCAACAAGTGACGGGACACGGGGAAATAATTGGAACCGTGATAAAATTTAATACCAGTTACACGGAAAAAAGTACGATATATTTATTTTTTATTTTATCCATGGATCACTAGTCAGTTTTTTCTCGAAGAAGAAATGGTTTTTTATTTGGTATGAATGCCCTTTATTATTTTATACTTAAATCATGGTTTAATATCAATGGACAAAATTAAATTAATTCGTTAGCATTACCAATCATATGCACATTAATATAATCATATTATCTATTGGTTATTGTAAGAAAAATACATTAAAAAAATATTTATTTAACTAAATACAAACATTCTAATCTAATTAAATTAAAAACTAAATTTTTACTTTAAATGCATATTATTAATTAAAATAAACCAGGTCTAAACGGAGTGATTTTCAACGGGCGAGACACTTTTCGACCAAAAATGTACCCTTCCCTTTTCGGCCGAATCACTTTTCGACCAAATTTTGAAAAAGGTCGATTTCCTTTTCGACCAAAAAAATATTATTAAATAATAATTATAAGTCTTTATATAGAAAAAATAATGTTTGTTAGTTATTTTTAAATATAGTAGTAGGTTACAAATAAATAATGATAATAATTACATAATATAAGTCTTTATGTTATATATTTTATCATAAAAAAAATATTAAAAAATGTATAAGTTGTATAAAATACTAATAATAATATAATCATAATATTCATACCTGTCATAATTCATTTTTTTTCCTTACTTTTGTTAGCACTGTTTAGGTTAGGTTGCTGGTTCACTACTTTTTAAAGTAGTTATTTGAAACCAACTTAACAAAATCATACCTACAAATATAAAAGTATACAAATATTTACTTTTAGGTAATTATAAAGCATAGCTATATACTGTATCTGTCAAGTCCGTTTTGATAATCCATGATATATTTTTAATTTTTCAATAACATTAATATTGTATATTATATCAAACTTTTTTTTGGTCGAAATGTGAATCGGCCGAAAAGGGAAAGGTACGTTTTTGGTCGAAAACGGCCATGCCTTTTTCAACATCAGTTATTTATACACATACCTCATATTATACTATTATAGACATTAATAGAAATTCGAATACACAATTAGGTATATACCGGGGACGGTTAAACCTTTTTTGGCACAGAGATCTAATTAGAACATATTTTTCCTTTAAGGATCGTCTTTCATGAAAAAAATATATAATTGAAATACCTTTTATACCTATAATTAATTAATAATAAACATACTTATACAAATAATAAAATGAACATATTTTATTAATGTAAAAATGTGACATTGCACATAATTGACAAATTGCTCATAATCTGGAGAATAGTTTCCGACTGCTAAACAAAAACACTGCTCTAGATGGTTTTCAGAAAGTATAGCTTTGTATTTAGATTTAATAATTTACAAATAAAAAAATGCTGTTTCACAGAAATACGCTAACTACAAATAGGTTATCCATAATATAATTTCCAAAGACCTAAATCCAAAAGTACAATGCAATTTCTTAGATAGTATGTTTCCTGATTGTTTTATGCTATGGCTATAGATAGTACAGCCGCGTTCTATGCTAGTAGATACTACTCACCGACTAAGATTTAGACTATTTAGAGTACCTACTGAACACAAAGCTATAGGTACAATTGTATAAATATTCACTAAAACTTAATAACACAGTTCAAATATCTTGATCTGTACCTTGATAATAGAATAATAATTAATTCTATAATCAATTTCAAAAATAATAAAATATGTCTAGTAGTAAGTAAAGTCACAGGTGGTTTTTATTCATTTTTACTGCACTAACGCTATCTAGATGTTGGATTCGCGTGTATTGGGTTATTTTCACTTATCTTAATGACTCGTCTTAATACCACAGAATTTTGTAAATTCCCTTTTTCTTAAAATAAATATTAAAACTGTCGCAACCCAAATTTCAATTTCAATCGTTTCCTAACCAAAGTCAAATTATTGTGTAAGTAAGTAAAATTATAAAACCACATATTTATTAGTTATGTTCTCGACTTCTTGTTTTTTTTTTTTTTTTTACTACGATATGCGATAGTATTAATTCATTATAATTCATTAAAAAAACTTAATAGTTTAAGGCAATGTAACACAACATTCAGATTAATTGTATTTAGTTACATAAAACATCGTAAATGAAATTACGAATAGCCATAGATGTTATTTATAATAGCAGTTCTTCAATGAACATTGACATACCTAGTTTTTTTTATTTTCCTTTTTAATTTTACGTTTTGAAATATTTAAATTTGTATGAAAAATCATTTTAAATAATATTAATTATTTACTTACATTTTAGACGTGATATTTGCATTAAAAAATGTAATCCTAGATAATAGATACCTATTTAATAACAACAAATAACTATAAGATATTTTCAAAACATTTTAAGTACCTATAGAATAAGTATTAACAATAAATTATAATATACAAAATAAAATATTGTTAAATGCAATTCCAACATTACTTAAAAGCGATTTATTGTTTTAAGCAATCATTCCTAGTAAGTTTAATGATTGAAATAATTAAATTATGTATTGTTATAATTTCCTTACTTCTTTTACTCATTAATTCACTGGAAACTGAATCCAAAATGTCAATAAATACTGAAAAAGTTTCTAAAATATACGTCATAGTTTTTCAGTTGAAAACCAAATTATATATTATGAACCATCCCATAATTTTCTATGTTAAACACCTGATAAGCATACAATGATTGATATAATTAATTAAATAATATTATGTACTTTATAGTGCAATTGTGCAATATGTGTGTGTATACACTACCAGTGGCGTGTTGACCGTGATTTTGAAGGGCAGATGCCCGATCATTTTTAAGGGGTGGGTGCTGGGTTGGTGGGTACTGGATTTAGTAAGAAATATTATTATACAAGACTACCTGACTACATCATCTGAATTAATTTGTTATTTAATAAGAATAATAACTTCAATAGTTATAATTATGCTAAGAAAAGCTATCTAATAGTATACCTACATATTATTAATTACACATTAATACATTATACTACAGTGTACATTCTACGAATAAGCAATAAATTAAAATAAGAAATTATAGTATTATGCTAGTGACTATGAGGGCATCGGCATAGGCATTCCGGCATAAGCATCTTGAGAATATTATATTATTGCGATATAATCTATTTTTAGAATCATAAACTCGGAAATATCCAGGTTTCAGCCGTTTGTAAAATAAAGTAATTTATATTGATTTAATAAAGGTACTTTTTTGTTGTATATAGTATGGCACATGGGTCATGGGTAGCGGGTACTGTGTAAGAATTAAGGGGTGGTAGGTTATTCAAAAAATGAATTGCCCGATAAAATATTTCACTTCGCCACGCCACTGTACACTACATTCAATGTATACAGTGGCATATTTTGAATGTAATGCTTTAATCATTAGTACAATAATACATATTAAATATTAATATCAAAATAACTATTTAAAAATCTTCAAAGAAAATATAATATTAAAATACATTTTACAATTTGTCTAAATAGTAAAAAAAAACTAAGGAAACTATGGTGGTCATGAAACAATTTCATCATCAACGCTATGAATAAAATTAAATATTTCATAAATATTAAATACCATTTAATAAATTCTATACAAATATACGTATAACTTCTGATTGATAAATTGTTACAATAAAAAATACTGTGAAATTTTACACCCAACCATACTACACACTTTTTAGTTTTTATTATTCACAATCACAATTAACATTTTAAATACTATACAACTCCTACTTAACATAATAAATGAATACTTTATTAAGCATTTATTTAAGTTAAAAAAAATAATATTTTCGCAGTAAAATTCTTCTAAAAGACAGTGTAGACATACACGACTGATGAAAGGGAATATTCCATATTCCTGATCTTCATAAGAACAATCTAATTTATTACATAGTTTATCACTTTATCACTTTATCAACCATATACCAACATTACCGCGGTCTTAGAAGATATCTTCTAAGGCCGTGATCATTACCATTACAGTTGTATAAAATAGTAATATATAATAATATTTTACATACCTGTAAGTAACGGTTAGTAATAATCACGGTATTTTAAGACCATGGTAGTAATTTTCGATTATCATACCTCGAGTATTATCATTTTCCAGACAAGTGCTTATCACTCCATAGAGTCTATATCATAAGTTCGTATGATAGTAATTAGTAGTATGATTATAGTGAAATGTGTATGTATTTCATGTATCGTGGAATATGAACAATACTCTGAAGTATCCCACTTTGAAATATTAAATTAAAAGATTCTATTCTTAAAAACACTCTGGAACACTGTACCTAGTATAAAAATCCTGCTGAAAAAGTAAAGAAAAACCATGATGCGTTTAATCAAACCAAGAACGACGATGATAAAATCATGATAAACGATCAAGACATCCAAACCAATGTCAAGAAAGATCAAAATAGTATAAAGAATACCAAGTTTGACGACATTTTTCAGACCTCTTGTAAAGTAATCAAACATTCAGTCCATAACAAAAGTGAAAGCTCAAATACGGATTATAGTAACACTAATATTACAACTGTTTCTGAAGGCAATGACATTATAAATAAGAAAGTAGCGATATTCATCAAGAAAGTATTACACAATGAGCTACCAAAAAACAAGAAGCAATTTTCATTAGTTTTATTGGCAAAAATTTATTTTAGAAAAAGTATATTTGTTGAAAACAAATAATAGATTAGTTAATGTTTGTTGTTAGATACAATCCAGGTAATTAGGTAAACTTTCTCAACTTCATTTTGAAAAGAGGTCATAAAGAAAAGGGCAGAAATTTTTAGCTTGAAATCTCGTAATACAAAACAGAAGAATAATAAATCAATTTTAAAAGCTTTACACCGCTTCTGGAAAAAAAATTCCAAAAATTAACTAAATATGTTAGCGATATTAATGACTACTTAGACACCCTAGTCAGGATGTCAAACATTGTTGTTTAACATGTTAAAAATGTTGGAACTTTGAATAAATCTATGCCCTGCAAACAACAACCCTCTGATGTATCATTGTATAATTTACCCAACAAGAGAACACACTAATTATGTGTATCTTTACTCAATTCCAATGCATTCAATACAATCAGTATTATGTGCAGAATTGATTTTCATCTGACCTCAAACATCTTAACAATAGAGCTCTTGTTGAACTGAGTATAATGTATATCACCTAGAACACCGGTGCTGCTATCCCCAATACTCCCATCTAACTATTGGTTATTAAAATAATTAGTTCATTATAAAATGTCTTTAAATTTGTGTTATTGTGAATGTAACTTATATACTTTTCCTATAAGAAGGAAATATAATTGCTAAGATATTTTGTAATTTAAAAATTGCTTATAAATACTTAATATTTTGTATAATTTTTGTGAATTATGATAAAGTAATAACTGATAATTAATTTGTAATAAACTTAAAATGGTCTTATACTTATCAATTCATGAAAATTAAAATATACATGAAATACTAATATTAAAATTTAATACATACCTAGCCTATAAGTAACTCGGAATATAGAAACTAGATATTGGGTGCTAATCCTTTAGTTAGCTTTCAGCCTTGTTACACACGAACGAACTAGTACTAAATTAATTTAACAATTGTCACTAATTCTAAACAAACACATTGTTTTAAAACCTGAAAACATTTATTAAAACAAAAATATACAGGTTTTAACTTAGATTAATCAAATTTGACACTTAAAGTACAACAAAATGTATGTCATCAAATTAAACAAAAAAAAAACAGATTCAAACATATCTTATAAGAAATATTATTCTATACCTTAGACCACTAGTTTTTCATTTAGCATCTGTTAACATATACGCGTTTAAAACTTGCTTACACCCTAGTAATTTTTTTTGATTAGTGGTTGACCTCACATTAAAAAATGTTTTAGTTCTTGAGAAAAATCTTATATCAGGGGTCATTAATTAATATTTTTGAAAGGCCACATTAGAAATCTGAAAATGTTTGCAGGTCATTAAAATTCTAAGCATTAACATATAATAAGTAGATATTATTTCAAAATTGGATGTAATGAGGAAATTATTTTTTTAATTATCTTCTATTGTTTAAAACAGTAAGAACAAAATTAATATTACAAATAATTGAAAATATTATTCTTTGTCTGCGGGCTGAATAAAATTTGTTCGCAGGCCGCTAGCTATTTGAAAACCCATGGCTTATATTAAGTTATTGTACTCTGTTACAAATCTTGAAAATAAATTGTTATTTTAATAATAAAACTGAAAAGCTTATTTTCAAATATTTAAAATAAAATAATAATTACCTGTTTTTTTTTTTTTTTTATTACTGTACTTCTGTCAATTGATATGTAATATCCATACAAATTTCCCATTTGTTAGTAGGTAATGATATGAATATTTGTCAAATTTGCTTGGTGTAGTATTTAAAAAAATCAACTATATACTGACTTTTAATTGAAAAAAGGCCACCTTTTAATAGTTTTTGGTACAGACTTAAAATCAAGTCATTAAGTTGTATAAACAACATTTTCTTCTAATTAAGAACATAATACATAGTTTTTGTACAGACCCGCTAATTATGTAAGATGTTAAATTTAATTTAATTCATGATCTTTTCTTCTGCAAAGATTATGAGTGCATAGAGTAGATAGGATCAATATTTAGATTTGTTCTTTTATAAATTATTCTCAGAAATTGTATCAAATGATAAATGTATATTCAATTCAATTTTGATTTTTAATGAAAGCACGTATGTTTTTAAATTTATTTTATGAAACTACTATAACTACAATTAAATCAAATTTTAATGAATTGTTCATTCGAAATAGACTAATAGCTAATACAATAAGATTTTTAAGTCTAATCCAAAAATGCATTTAACCCTGACCTAACTTCAGACAGAGGCTAAGTATTGTTGAAGTGGGGATGAATTTAAAACATTGTAACTAACAAAAAATAAAAAATCTATTCTATTATGATGACCACAATTACTCATTGAAGACATGTAAATAAATAAAACACATTTTTTATTTTTATTTTTTTATTATTTTGCATATATTACACATGCTTATCTCTTACCCTAACTGGTTTCAAAACGAAAAAAATGAATATAATATAGGTACATACAAATTCAAGGAAAACAAGTAAAAAATGAAGTTATCTACTATGAACTCGAAAAGGAGTAAATTGTATTAAGAACAATTTCCTTAAAAAAAAAAAAAAAACAATACACTCATTAAACTAATTCAAACCTTTAGTTTTAGAAAATCAATCAATTATGTAACTCAATTTAAAAATTATTATATACAAAAATCATGTTTCCTAAGCAGTTATAAAAAAAGTGAAAAACTTGAAATATAAATTCCCAGTTATGACTAATAATTAATTATTAGACATTAATATTAAATGTACCACAGAAAATTAAAAATAAATAAATATATAATAAAATACTGAACACCCCATATAAATCACATGAAATTAATTTATCATTAAAATATTATGAACTGATTACGAAAATATAAAATGTTATAATATTATCATAGTGCAAAACTAAAAAAGTTATCTCTCAGTATTTAAAAATAAATATTATAACTAAACATTAAAGCTATATATCAAAAGAAATGGAAATAATTGTTTTCCTGATTACTGAGAAATGAGGATACAAATTAAAACTAATAGCAACTAGGTTACTGAAATAATATTAATTACCTCATTACCTATAACCTAATTGGTATATTAACAATGTGTACCTATTTGTTTTTTAATAACTTAATTAAATCTGATTGTGAATGTAGTAGTAGTAATAATCTTTCAACAGGAGAATAAGTTAATATTTTGTAAGAATCTTTATGTGATCAATAAAAAAATATTATAGTTCATCGTAATATTTTTAACATAAATAAGAATTAACATAAGTGTAATAAGAAAAATAATTAACTATCCGTTGGTTCCAAACTCCCAGGAGCTTACAAGTATTACTGAACTTTTACAATGTTTAAATTTTTAAATTAATTTTTATAAAAAAACATAATTTTACTGTTTAAAAAAAAAAGAATTAAAATTGCATTTTACTTTTAATCATAGTCAAGCGGTGCAGGCGGGCAATATGTTGTATGTTTCTGGTTCTTTGGGCCTAGATGAGAAGACGTTGAAACCGGTCGAGGGTGGAGCAGCGGCTGAGGCTAGGCAATCGCTAAAAAATATCCATGCGATACTTTAACATGCTGGCACTTTGTTTGATAAAAGGGAGAAAATAAAATTTATATGCTAACATATGAAAAATGCTTTATAACAACACTACCAAAAATTTTACTTTTAATGCCTAATCCATAAATTAGATACTAATTATAAATGGGCTCTATTAAAATTAATTAGATAACCACAATTCTCGATTTTGTAAAATATAATACAATAATACAAGTTAATTTAGGTCAAGTAAATCAAAATTTAATAATAGCATATTTCTGAAGTTCGGACAAGAAATGTTAAGTAACTTTAAGTCTTATCTTTAAATTTTAAGGATTGAGTTTTTTTTTTTTTTAATATTAATTTAATACATAATTCAAAGAGTCAAATATTAAATCTTAACTAAATTTTGAGTCAATTGTTTTATTTTTTTTTTTTTTAATAAATACATACAATTTGATTGCTCAATAAAAATAAAGTAGTAATATAGTCTATCCATTTAAAATTTGTCCTTTGTTCTATATAATGATACATAATTTTTTTTTTATACACAACCCACAAAATGTTTATATTAGAGGTCATCGCTCATTTTCAATAACACTTTTAGTCATTTAGTTATATTTAATGGAGACTCCTACAAAAATATCTCAACCTTCAGCTTGCACAAATTTGCTTTAAGGTTACTTTAAATAACTGATAATTTTAAATAAAAATCATTTAAGTATGTTATTAAAATACTTTCAATAATTATCAATTTTCACGTTAATGATATAAACACTGATCAGTCTTAAACAAAACTTTTAAAAATTGAGAACATAAATATAATACTCAAAAAATCCAACTAATTTCAAGGCATTATACTATTAACAACCGAGAAATCATCAAACAAATGTACAATGAAACTATGAAAATTTTATAATAAGTTTTATTTAAAATCAAAACATACCAAGTATTAAAATGTGCACTTATCATTTTTGTAAATTGGATTATTGAAATAGTCATGTCACTCAAACACAGTAAAATGAAAAGGAAAAAACTGCTTAAAGATAAAAAATATTGGATAGTTTTCAATTAAAATTTTTTTGTTTTTATATAAGTATTTATATATAAAAAGAAAAAAGAAAATTTGAATCGTTTTAAAACGCTGTATTTCACTTGTTTCAAAGTAACTACTCACAGATACAAAGCATGTCTACAGCAGATCGGCCACATTTTGTGGCATCTCGAGCACGTGAGTGTTGTAAAACGATTCAATATCCTTCATAGCTCGTTTGTCATCTTCAGTGATAAAATTAATGGCGACTCCTTTACGACCAAAACGGCCAGAACGTCCAATCCTGTGAATATAGTTCTCACGATTGGACGGCAAATCATAGTTGATAACCAGAGATACTTGTTGTACATCAATGCCTCGCGCCAACAAATCAGTGGTGATTAAAACACGACTAGAGCCCGAACGAAATTGACGCATAATTAGCTCACGTTGACGTTGGTCCATTTCTCCATGCATAGCAGATACGGTAAATGATTTCAAACGCATATTTTCAGTCAACCACTCTACCTTACGACGTGTGTTACAGAAAATCACAGCCTGGGTGATACTAAGAGTGTCGTACAAATCACATAAAGTGTCAAACTTCCATTCTTCTTTGGTAACGTTGATGTAAAACTGTTTAATACCTAAAAATAAATAATAAAAAATAAAGGAAATAGACTTAAAAAACTTAGAATGATTATATATACCTTCCAATGTCAGTTCTTCTTTTTGAACAAGAATGCGTACTGGATTACGCATGAAGTGAGTACTCACATCCAAAACGTCCTCGGGCATTGTAGCAGACAACAGAATGACCTGAATATCTTCTTCGAGGAACTTGAACACCTCTTTAATTTGATCTTTGAAACCACGAGACAACATTTCATCAGCTTCGTCCAACACAAATATCTTGATAAATTGAGTTCGTAGTGATTTTCTAGCAATCATGTCATAAACACGACCAGGAGTTCCAACCACTACATGGGATCCAGTATCCAGCTTACGCATGTCATCACGAACGTTTGTACCACCAATACAAGCATGACAATCTGCTTTCATGAAGTCTCCCAAAGCAATCACTACCTAAAAACAATGTTATATTGTAAAAAAATCAAAATCTAATCAAACAAATAGAATTACTTTTTGAATCTGTTGAGCCAATTCACGTGTTGGTGCCAAAATAAGAGCTTGGCACTCATTCAAACTTGTATCAATTTGTTGTAGAATAGAAATTGAAAAAGTAGCTGTCTTGCCAGTACCAGACTGGGCCTGAGCAATGACATCATGTCCCTTGATGCATGGCAAAATTGCACGTTGTTGAATAGCTGATGGCTTTTCAAAACCATACCCATAGATACCACGCAACAATTCTTCTTTTAAATTCATCTCATCAAAGTTATCCACCACCTCTTTCCAGTCAGACTCAATAGTTCCACCGACATCCATGCCGGGCGGTCCCGAGTAATCATTGGTTTCGCTGGGTGGTCCATTTTTCGTCTCATTAGCATTCATTATTTAAAATATTCTGAAATCAATTAAATTTAAATTAATAACAACAGAAAATGTTTAAAAATAAAGTACAAAAAATTACACAAAATAATATCATGTAAAACAAAAATCATTCAACTGAAAAAAAAAAATATAGGAATGTGTTTCTCAAGTAAAATTTTTTATTTATCATTTGATATATTAATATTTTAATAAATTACAAAATCGAAAAAAATACTAATTTAAAATTAATATTGTTAAAAATGATGATATAAAATAATTTGATTATGTTTATGCATCTTTCAAGCTTTATATAATTGGTGATATAACAAAAATAATACACAAATTCAATATTAATAAAAATTAATTTAACTAAAAAAAAAAAAAAAAATAGAAAAATTATACAAAATATATTTAACAATGAATTATTATTATACCTAACAAATTAAGTGATCATCAAATACCTAAAACTATCCATTTGATTTGATACCAATAATTTATCTATTTAAATAATAATTTTTAATTTTAATAAGTAACTTTCCAATAACTTTATAATTTATAATTAAACCCAATTTTATGGTTTGTAACTTAAATTTGAAACTTATCTTTTTAAGGTTCTTTTAATTTAAATAATATGTATATACTCAGGATACATACTTTGTCTTAATATTAAAAGAAAATCATATTAACAAACAATACTTGCTAAAATGATAAGAAGTGATTGAAGTGGGCTAAAACCTAAAGTTTAACTTTAAGAAATGCAATAAAAATAAAAAGTAGGTAAATAATAGATATTATAAAAACCAAGTACAAAGATTATATTGGCCTTGAATAAATCTAAGATCTCTTAGCACATAGTTAATAACAAATAATAACATTAACAATATTTTAATTAAAAAAAATTATGAATAAGAAACACTATTACAAATACATGACATTAATATTTGTAAGATACTACTAATGTAGAAAAATAACGCACATATACTTTATACAAATTAAATATATCAAATATACAACAGCAAATATAAATCTTTAAAAGGCTGGACTTGAAACTTAAAAGACCAATTATTTAGCAATACAAGCAGCCTTAAACACAACAAACTACAAATACACTAAACATCAAAAGTGTAATACCGACAACAGTGAAGTCTCTTGATGCTTTGATCATTAAAGACAATCATATAGGCATAACACATTATCAAATGCGATCGGACGACTCAGATACCTACACCGGGAGCCTAACCTAAAAAACCACCCCATCCTATAATATAGTTTCATAAGGGCGCCTGCCCAAGGGCGGTCCCCACGTGATGAACATCCCCTATAACGTGGGGCGTTGAATCCACGGAAGTAAAAAATATTACTAGTGACTGCAACCCGAGCGATCACAGCCAGCGGATGACGGGATGCTTAAGCTCGCGCGATTGCACGACATCGTCCATGATGTGGTCGTCGGAACCAAACCGAACGACCACCACCGACTACAAGTCGGCGGACGGAAACGATGCATTTAAAAAAATATAACGCGCCAGCGTTAAAATAAAAACGTGAAAGTGTACTTACAAACTGCAAAAACGATATAGTCGCAAAACGAAGAAATGTATCTAAAAAGAACACATTTTGACAATTGAACAATATAGAAAACGCGTAAAGTACATGTGATTTGCCGAGAGGAAATCGGAAGAGAAAGAAGCAGATAGGGTGAGCGACGGTGGATAGCGTACAATCGACGAGCGTTTGGTGAGGTTAGCACGCAGTGTGACCACGCGTCGCATCAAAAACAGCGATCGATAAAAGAAGTGCGTGCGGCGGGCACTCGCATCTATTTTTCTTATAAACCGCCTGATAGGACTTTCCCTACATGCCCGACCCATGGTCATCATACACCTCACACTGGTTGGCGACACTGGACGGCACGCGCGTCCATCACACACTGCAAGCCTGGCTGCCGCTGCCGCCGTTGTTGATAAACAAAAACGCCATAGCCGACCGCACCCCACCACCCGACAACCGTGAGACGCACAGACCACTGACGCGCCACGGCCCACCGACATACCTACCGAATACGGATAAGATGTCAGAACGCTGTATCGCGCCACTTTTATCTCTAATGACTAATAGTCGCGTCGACGTTCTTACCAATTGCCACTGCTAGGCATTTACTATGATTTATAATATTATGCCTTTAGTTATTTTTTCTGCCTCGTGGATTTTGATCTTTCACCCGCCGGCCATGGTACACTAACACTACCAACTCGAGTCTACTTATTTAACACAATATGATTATCACACCTGTCGTGTTACCGGTCAATGTTATAATTCATTTTATATTTTTACCATTCGTTCGTTCAACCCATTTTACTGATCAAACCCCATCGTATAGAAACTATAGACTCCTACCTACGCCGATCCATTTTTTAGAAATAGTCGTTAGACTTGAAAAATTAATTCTTTATTTTAAATCTAGAACATTACAAGCATTTAATAATATATTTATAGTACGTAAAGTAATAGTGATGGGACTGATAAAAAATTTAACTAAATTTCTCGCATGAATGTTGGTCAATGATATTATACTCATGTATCTTTTTTTAATAATAATCTATTTTATTAATATTATAATCACCAATGAAATATATTTATATTTTACCGGTGGTTAGGTTAATATCAGTGACTTATGGAATTTGACATTTAAAAATATTGCTCTAATTTTTACTTATTTTTTTTTTATTTTTTATGTTACTCTTGTCTCTTTTATCATAATAATGATAGAACGAATCAAATGTCATACATAATACTAGTAATAACCAATAATCTCTATTATAATAATATTAAAAATTAAAATTAGGCATCCATTTTCTATATCATAAATAAATAAAAGTTACATAATAAATTATTAATATATGATTTAATATGATTTATTAATTTCTCAAAATTGACACCACACAATACACATACACATACATATAAGATATAAAAATTACTAAAATGTAATAAATATATTATAATATTAAAACCAGATTTGCTATACAGTATACATTATGTGAATATATTTAATATACTATATAGAGACATGTAGTATTATATTATTTAAATAATTATAACCTATAATATGTTTATATAACTTGATGTTATTTAAAAAAAAATTTCAAGAAATATTTGTACATTTTACTTCTTTGAATGAAATCTATCATACAATTTTAATTTTATATTCCTAAACTTAATATTTTTCTAAATATTTCATTCTAAGAAAATCAAATTTCGAATAAGTATAGTTTATTACAGTTATAACTTTTAAGTATTTAAAGTTTGTACGAATGGGGAAGTGAACCAATATTTTGGAAGTAGATACTTCTCTACGAGTGAATAGTAGTCTATCCCACCCATCTAAACTTTAAATATCTACTTATAAGTTATAACTAATTACGTAACTACTCATTTGAAATTAAATTTTTGGAATATGAAATTAAAAAATTAAGTTATATTGTTATGTTTCAAAAAATTAAGACTTAAAAAATAATTATGATAAATAATTGAAGAGATATAATTTTTTTTCAAACATTTTATTTTGATATAATATAAATTTATAAGTAAAAACTTTTTCATAAAATTACAACTTTTTGAAATAAAAAGTATGAAATAGATATTTAAATGGATTATTCTATACGAATATATTATATATTTTTAAAAATAATTTGAAACTAATTGTATTAACAAAGTTTAAATGAAAAATAATTAAACAAGTATATTAAAAACTACTACAATAGTATTCTGACGGAGTCTGCACGGAGGGATACAGTATATAGTCAGTAGCAATAATCGAATAGATGCATATAATATGTTTAAATATCTGAGTTGTGACATGAAAATAAATAACAACTGTTAAATGCGAATCACTCATTGAGTTATATTTAAATAATTAAATCATACCACACAATTCTACAGAAAACAGATAACCTTATATTTGTTCAAAATTCAAACAAAAACAACTTTATGCTTGTATTTAAATTATATATTTTGCAAAACAATTTTTATTTAATTGTTTACAATAAATTATAGAATTAATTTAAAGTACCTATTTATTTTACAGCCATCTAAACAATAGAGCCTCTTAAATCCATAATAGACGAGGTAGTATTCATAATTTATAAAACGATTTCAGAAGACGTATAATATCATCTAAGTTCTTTAATCAGACAAAACTAACTGATACTAAAATTTTTGTTTCTATAGCAGTTTTTATAATTTATTTTTTATAATATTAAATACCGATTTTTGTGAGTGGATAAACAATAGATGACCATCAAAAACCGTATGCATACTCATAATTATAAAAACTATTACTAAACATTAAAAATGTAGGTATTAATTTAATGAATAATGATCATTTCGTAACTTTCGAAGATTGGCACTACTATGATGAATATATTCACGATAACCTGTAGCACGACCGTATGTAATGACTTTACAGAATAAAAGTTAATTTTTCAATTTTGTTAAAAATAAATAATAATTGATGAATAATAGGTATATTGTAATTACCTACATTAAATTATTTTATTTGTGCATACCTACATTTTAGATCGTGCAGATTTATTACTATACATAGGGTACCTATTTACATTTATTCAAAAGAAACTTAAATTTAACCAACGTAATATTTTTTTAAGTAAATGGTTTATTTAAATAAAACATAAATTATACATAATATCTAAATTAATGTAAACACATAAATGCATAACAAATATTTATTTATTTGTATTCGTTATTATATTTTTCAGTTATTAAAACCACAGTATTGCTGAGTGATATTAACAATGCCAAATTTGTAAACGAAGTCTATCAAGAATGTAATTATAATCATATTTTTATAATTATTTAAAAATAATTTTATTAAGTATCTGGTAGCAGTATTAGTTGTCCAGTACCTAGCATTGCTTAAAATTGTATTAGTTTATTACGTAGGTATAATAGGTTATATTATTATTGCTTTAAAGCATATTAATATATTATATAGGTATAGCTCTAATATGATCTTTACTTCATTTATTAAATTTATGTTTACGTATCTAAGAATAATCTACAGTAACGTCTCAAGTATTTCCCCAAGAGAGTGTTATGAAAACTTTAATATTTTTGTTTTAAAAAACCATAATGAACGATTTTGTTCTCAAAATTTACTGATTCAATGTTACACATTTTTTTTTGATTGATGTTAATAATAATTCAGTAAACAATAAGAATTGTTCAATAGCCACATTATTTTCAACAAATCATTTATAACTTAGCAGTTAGCAGTAAATATTTTTTACAAATATAAGTCAATTACTTTATAATGTAAACTTTCAGCCATCATATAGAATTTCAAAAACATGTTTTTGAATCTCTGCGAAAATATGTATTTCTTGTCATAATAGAAAACGTATCCATATTTTAATGTTATGAAGTACTTATTTTTGGCAAATAGACAACGTTTATCCAGAGTGTGTCGTGAATAGTCACGATAGGAAAAACTTTTAGAACCCTTGATCTACTGATGGGCATATGATTTCATACAATCACGCTTACCCACCCCCTTTTTTATACTTGCATACTTTTAGCCTTAATGTTATATTTTAAAATACTTAGAACATTTATATACCAACCGTTTAATGAGTATCCTGTGACGATATAGGTACACGCTTAATTTTTTAAATAAAAACCACTTTTTTTTTTTTGTAAATTATGAATCAAATGATTTTCTTTTTGAAGTTTGGATGTATCTAATTCGAAATATACGTAAGAATAGTAAGAAGTAGTGTTTCATGTTATAATTTAGTCGCTTTTCGCTATTGAACGATACATGAGCATGAACCGATGACGCTCACTCAACAACAGCAACGACATTATGTCGCAACCCGGACGCGTTTTCGTACTCGAACGTCGATCGCGGTACACGGGTCCTATGATCGCATTTCGCTGGTGCGCCGCCACTCCTCTCTCTCTTCGCGCTGTATAATAAAATTCGCGATGCTCAAACTTTCAACCGATTCGCTTTCATGGGATCCTGGTCCACGATTGCCCTATTTGACGAAACGTAACGCTCATCATCTGACCAAGTCGCTTGTTTTAATATTCTACTATTTTACCGCAGTTAACGTAGACCGTAAGACCGTAGTTTATTATTATTATTATCATCATCATTATATTATACATAACGGTGACAAGGTCAAAACGATTTTTAGGATACTATAATAACTCAAACCATTCACTGTTCGGCGAGAAAGCGAGTGTATCTGGCACTGTTTAAATTATAAGCGCGGAATAAATTGAGTTAAAAAATAAAACCGAAGAACTTGCTTTACTGTATAGTATACGTACCTAATCCATAGGTGCCATTAAAATACCATTTTAATTGAATTTTCATGCATTTTAACTAAAAATGTATTTATTTATTTCCGTGATTTTGACTAATGTAAAAATGTAAACATTAAAAAACTTATAGAAAAAAAAAAAACAAAACAAAATTATGCAAAGTTTATACTTTATAATATAATATTTGTAAATAGTCAATCGCTGGTTGGACAACTTACTCAATTCTATCTTTATACAAGCAAACAAAGTAGGTACATAAAAATAATCGACTTTGACAATATTCACAAATTTTATAAAATAGTATATTTTTATGTTGTAGTTATCGTAATTTTTAATAATTATAAGT